AATCACTTTTATGGTAACGACTTCTAAATGTCTTTGGTGTAGCACATTTTAATATTACTTGAAATGTCACCCTACCTAAAGAAAATTAGAAAACTCACTATTTGGGGAATCAAATATTACATTAGTGACTAACCTTAAGCCTTTTATAATAAGGTCCCTAGATATAAAGGCTAGTTAATATTTAATATTAGAGAGCTTCTCCACAAAGGATAGGGTATAATTCAACAAGTATTTATAAGAGCAAAGGTACTGAATATCAACGAAATGCCATGCATTTGTGAATGTGAAAGGAAATGAAAAATTAGTATCACGCACCCTCTTCCTTCACTCATCACTTTTCAGTTTCCTTTTGAGCTGTCTTCTCCCCCTATTTTGTAGGCTCTTAGAGGGCATGGACTTTCTTCCTTCCTCTCTCCTTCTCCTTCTCCTCTTCTTTTTCCTCTCCTCCCTTCCTTATATTTGTATCACCAGCATTTAGCACAGTGTCTGGTATTTAGTAGAAGCTTAGAGTAACTCACTGAATGTTCTGAGATACTCCTTGGGGGAAAAAAAATAAATGAAAAGTAAATTTTGCATTTTTGATTTCAGTAATAATAAGATCTGATTATTTAAATTAGATTAATTCGTGTTTGATTAAGAAATTATAAAAGGCCTATCTGGTGTATTTGGTCAGACAGCTGTCTCAGTTATAATTTTCATGAGTTCAATGCTACAAAAAAGCATTTAAAAAGTTGTCAAGAAGCATTTGTTCCAGGCACTGTGCTGAACACTGGTGATAATGAATCAAAGAATGTTATCTTGTTGACTTTTAGAAGAGAACACATGATATTCTAACAATCATTATACATTTTTAGAAGTTACAAATACCTGCTCTCCTTCCATTTCAAGCAGGAAGATTTTTGGCTTTGGGCAAAGATAAGCCATTGGACAACTCTTATTTGCCAGAGATATGAATAATTATGGGAGATGAGAGGAAAGTCATGTTCTTTTCACCTTTCATATTCTCCTTATCTAATGTTCTTCTTTCAGTTTCCTTTCTCCTACTTTTGTTTCTTTCTTTCTTCAAACTAGAGAGGAGGTGTAAAAAACTAGGTGTGAGCAGAAGTCAGGTCTGCTACTGTTATCTCTATTCAGTGACGTACAAATATATGAGAAAAGAGGAAGAGGAAGCAAGGTGGGAGGAAACACTCAACCTGCAACAGCTTTGGCCCTGAAATCTGAAAGAAAGGCAGACAGAAAGGCTGCAAGGATGCATGGAAAACTTTTCAGGAGGGTTGCATATAGCGTTTAGGAAATGTAAGGAATCGATATTAATAGAAGAAGATGGTGCTTGATTTTACGTTCAACTACTAATTTAAAAAATGTGCTATTTTCACTAGTCTATCTAAGACATTTTGTTTATTCAAAAATGTTTTGGTGCAGAAGATTTCTGAATTTATAAACACAGGAAAGAAACTTGTGACAGAAATAAATAAGAATATATTAAAACAATACAATACAAGAAGCTCAAAAGGGGAAAGAGAACAACTGCACTTCATGAAGAAAAATATATTTTGAGGACAGAACATGACAGAGGTATCCAAAGCATTTTCTTTCTTCTTTTTTTCCTCTAATAAAGTCCAAGATCTCGATCTGTTAAGTCAAATGAGACTGGGGGCTCTGAGAATGAATATCTAGAATACCTGGAAGGAAAAGAGACATTCCCTGGAATTTTATTCTGAAAGAATATGTAGCCTAATACAGTAAAAAGAGCAAATGGAAGCAATGGTCTTCATGACTCTAGAAACAGGAAATCAGGAATGGAATGTTCATCAGAAAATGAGAAAAAAGGACCTGCCCGCATTAGGAAATAAAGACGATGCTAGAGACAAGTGTGCTTTCAATGACTTCAAGTTGTAAATAATGTGGGTGTGAAAAAATCACTAGAGAACAACTAGACCCTGTGAAGTTTCAACAAGAGAAGTGGGTGTAGAACAAACAAAATCCAAGAGAAGTTTATAAAAATAGAGAAACATGTGCACACACAAGAAGAAGACCACGTAATACAAAAAAAGGAGAAAAGCCAGGCCTCAGGACCATCCAAGTAAACATAAGCCACTCTACAATTATGAGACGTGACATCAATGCTAAATAACCTCAGTATAAAGAATGAACAAACATTTTAAAGAAACTTTGGGTGTAAAAATCTATCTAAGCATCCATTCACTGCTCAATTCAACTTCTCCCACAACATATAAGCTGCTCCTCAGGGGTAAGCTAGGTATTTGGAAAAGCTACATGAAATACATCTCCTGGTGCTGAAGTGGAAAGTTGCAACAGGCAGCCGCTGGTGCTCCAGGCCTTGAGTCAGGAAGACATGAGTTGAAGTCCAACCTCAGATACTTCTGAGGAATGGCTGTGGGCAAGTCACTTAACCTGTCTGCCTCAGTTTCCTCAATGATAAATGGGAATGATAATAGTACCTACCTCCCCAGGTAATTGTAAGCGCTTGGTGCAATGCCTGGAACGTATTAGCCATTTTAAAAATGGTTATTCCCTTCCCCAATACAGTAGAAAGAAAGAGTTGATGATCTGTAGTTACTAAAAACTGGAAATTAACAGGGGACCTATTGATGGGGAAATGTCTGAACAAAACGGGATAATTAACATATTGGAATATTATTATGCTGTACGAAGTGACACTTCTGAGGACTTCAGAGAAAAATAGGAATATTTTGTATGAATGATGCAGAGTACAGTGAGCAAAAACAGGAAAAAAATGAATGCAAACAAAAAGAAGACTAACCATAAAACAAATGCAGTGTAATCAAAATGACCTATCTCGGGTCATTGAGAAGAGGTGAAAAAATGTACCTCCCTCCCTTCCTTAGTGTGATGGGGAGCTAAGGATGCTGTTGCATAAGCTGTTAAAGATGAACACTGTGTTTGCTGGTTTGGCTGAAGTGCTTTTTCTTTGTTAAAGGGCTTTTCTTGATTACAAAGTTCACAGAGTGGATGGGTAAAGTATAGCTGGAAGGACCCTCCAAGTTCCTACACATACACGTTAGTGGTAATGCAAGAATACCATGGGTTTAGGTTGGAGCAATACCCCTCTCACCAGCGTCAGATGATCCTATGATTCTAGGTTAAACAAGGAGTTTCTATTTTGTTAGAGAGAACTAGAGATATAAGTCAAAGGGGAAGAGTATTAGACTGAAAGTCAAGTTGCCCAAGTTCTAGTTCAACCAAAAGATCGTGGTGATCACACTGATGATGATTAGAGCCCTAACTGCCAGTCCTAACAATCTTGAGCAAGCCAGTTCATGAATTAATCTTTAGGCCCTCAGTTTTCTCATCTATAAATTGGAAATGTTGACCTAGTTGAAATCACTTTAAGGTTGTTTTCAGTTCTAAAATTCTACTACTCTATGATTATGAGATTGCTGGATTTAGGGGCTAGGAGCCTGCATTCAAATGGGGTTCTATAACTTCAGTGCTAACTACATAACCTTTAGCAAATTGCTTAAATTCCTGGGCCTCAAATGAGTTTCCTCATTGTGAAATGAGAATATTAGTCTAGATGACCTCCAAGGTCCATTCTAGCTCTAAAATCAATGATCCTGTAGTTACTTTCTACCAATCAACTTCCACCTGGAATTTGATTGTGCCCTAACTTTTTGTTTTACCTACGCCCAGTGGTTATTTTATTGTTTGCCTGTTCTGTCAGTGCACCCTTCAATTTATTTGTTATTTATTGATCATTCACTAATAAGTGAGAGAAAATATGATATACTGAACAGAGGGACTGGTCAGGAAGATCTGTATTCACAACCTGCCCTGGAAACATATTAGCAATGGACAAGTCACAGTCTGTCAGTGACCCCAAGAGACTCAGACTGTAAATCACAGATGAGTTATCAATCTACATTGGTGAATCAAGTTTCTACACTGGTTGTTCTCTACACCAAGTAAATCATAAGTCTAAACATACATATGAAATTATTACTTATACTAATTCATATTTATATAGAACTTTAAGGTGGAAAAATTGCTTTCATCTCAACAACTCAGTAAGATGGGTAGGGCAAGCATCATTAAACCACTTTACAGATAAGGACACAGGCTTAGACTAGTGACTTGCCATGGTCACACAGCTAATAAGTATGAGAGCTGGGATCTGAACGAAAATTTCTAGAGTCCAAACCCAACATTCCTTCTGCTATATCACAATGCATCTCTGCAGTTACATTATGTGATTTTTACTTATGATTCTCAGCATGGAACCTTGAGAGCTCTGTGTACAAAATATTCTATAGCAATCTTCTGAGTGAACAGATAAAGAAATGTTCTGAACAGTTATAAGTATGTTTCCATCATTCTACTGAGTGACTATACATAAGTATAAATTGAAAGCTGACTCTTCTCTGGATGAATCCTAGGTTTACACTCAGAAAAATAAGCAACAAGAAAATAAAATTCCAAGAATGAAAGACAGTAAGAATCATTATTAAAATATTTGTAAAGTAGATGTCTGCACTGTTTAGGAGGAAGAAAAAAAGAAAATCAAAGTCTAGTAAATGGAAAAAGAAATCTAGGCAAAACTAATCAAAGAAACAAACACTGTAACTGAGCAAAAAAAAAAGAGAAAAGGATTGATGACAGTAATATATAAAATAACTGTTCTTGGGGAGGGAGTTAGAGAGGTTATGAGGAAACCAAAAGACCTAGTTTTATACCAGAAAGTATGCTTTCTCCTTGCTTAATTGGACCCTCAACACCGAGAGAAATATGAACAATTTTTGAAGATGAAGTAAGAGCCAAAAGTTTTCAAAGGAGAAAAGACTTGGTTGGGAATTATGCCCCAGTGAAAGTAACAATTTTTGAGCTATGAAAGAAGGATTAGAGCAAAAAAATCAAGTGAAAAGTATGTAAGGAACTGTCAACCCCAAATGATCTGAAAATGAAAAATCACTTTACATGCTCTTACATTCTAAGTAGTATTCACAAAAAAAGCTTCTTACCTGAGTTTACTGTTGAACTTTTCATGTTTTCCATTGAAGTTCACACTACAAAGACCTTTCAATTTTGAATGTGAAGAGTCGGCCACGAAATTTGCCTGTGTTTCTCTTCCCAAACAATGATGAAGCACTGCCTCCTTTTTCAAGTTTATGTCTGAATATGGGCAGCCATAAGCACTGTTTTGTATTTAAAAAAAAAAAAAGGAAAAGAAAAAAAAAGGCCCAATTGTTAGTATGTAGTGATAAACCAGCAATCCACTATGGTCAGAACAGATTTAGAGCAGCATTTAAAAATTGAGAAGATACATCCTGCTTGCACCAAATGCACTGAATATGTTTTTCCTTATCTGAAACTCCTTTGTTTGATAAAATATCAGATTCCAGATGTATAGATATTGGTCAACTGAAACAGTTTTTTGAAATATTTAACTTTTCATAACTATAACATAAGGAAATGTTTTCCATATGGTGATATAATGCATTTGTAACATAAAAGCTGATATCCCAGATGATGTCAGTCCATGAGTTGGATAGATTTTATTAGGTAAAACATATGTCATAAAATAAAGCCTATGGACAACTGGACAATCTTACCAATATAAACCCTTACAATATAATTTATTTTTATACCAATAATCTGGGAATGCCATTTTGCTTTAAAAAAAATAGATGAAAAGGTCTGGTTTTCTGAAATGCCTGTTTAGTTTAAACGACCTTGATTGATTTCATCAGTATAGGCATTCACTGCCTAGAGGCAGCTAGAGGTACAGTAGATAGAGTGAGGATCTCAAGATCAGAAGGTCTGCGTTCAAATTCTACATCACACATTTCCTAGCTGTGTGACCCTGGGCACATCGCTTAACCTCCCTGGCTCAGTTTATCCATTTATAAGATGGAGATAAAAGTGCCCACCTCACAGGGCTGTTGTAAAGATCAAATGACCAGCTCTCAATTCTCACTGCCATCCTGTCTTCACTGAAATACAACCACTGAAATATTGACAGTGGACCCAAGTAGTTCAGTAGTTGAGGCCTGCTTGACAGTATCATCAAGGAGAAGAAGACCCAGAATCAAAGATCAGCAAAAGAAAAGCCATCCTTTGGAAGTTATTAATGGTTCAGTTATAATAGTTTATATCTCTCCTCAACAGGAAAAAGTTGAAGGAAGATAGAAAAACAAACACAGAGGTAGATATCCTCCTGGTAATGATAACATCTCTCATTCCCTTTATGTCAATCACAAGAAAGGAAGGGCTCTGTTTAACTGTTGAATAAGAGCTTTAGATAAGAAACAGAAAATGGGGAAAGGAAATAAGTATTTAATTTCCAGGCGCTGCGCTGATCACTTTACAAATATTATTTCATATCCTTACATCAACCATGGGAGATAAGTGCTACTATTAATGCCATTTTACAGTTGAAGAAACTGAAGCAGCATCTGGAGTGGACATGCCGAGGGTCACATAGCTAGTAAGCAGCCGAGGCCAAATTTGAACTCAGGTCCTCCTGACCTGCCCAGTGTTCTATCCACCATGCCTCCTAACTGTATCGTAGGGCACAAGCGCGGCGGAAGGGTGGAATTTTTAAAAATATTTTTATTCTGGTAGAGAGTTCCCAAAAAGCATAAAACTTAATACTTTTGTTGGAAGTACTTAACAGTCTAACATAACTTTCTGTTACAAGATTTTTATTACCACTATTTGTTACAAATTTTCTTTTTTTCCCCTTAATTTCATCGCGTCACTCCCACTTGAATCACTCTGTGTAACACTAAAGCTTTCTCCTCCGAAATTTTAATTCCCCTGCATTTACTATATACCCTTGCTTGCTGCTGCTTCGAATTACATTTTATTTCCTTTAATCTACACTATATATCAATCCCTCCAGTCATTTAATTGTACTCATTCATTTTTTCCAAAATCCCTCCAGCTAGACTTTATCTCTTGGCAATGAGGTATACACAATGTAACATCAATTCACCTCACTAGGGCAGAATATTCTCTGAATTCTCTGAGGCAAATATTCTGAGGACACATCCTCAAATCACAAAGATGGCAGTAAAACTTGAGGTCAATTTAACATTTTTAAAAGACAAAGGCAAAAACTGCATATGAAGAGAAGATATTTGAAAGGAAACTTCCTAAGGAAATCATAACATAAAAACAAAAATTCATAGGATTGTTGATTTAGAACTGAAAGGGACCTTAAGAGGTCATCAAATTCAACTTGTTTCATTTTACAGAAGAAGAAACTGAGTCGGAGAAGTTAAGTGATTTACCCAGGGGAATTCCTTACTCCAAGCCAAGCACTCTGTCAACTGCCACCTTCTGTTGATATTGTTATTGTTTAATCATTTTCAGTCATGTCTGACTTTGTCAACCCTTGTTTGGAGTTTTCTTGGCAAAGATACTGAAGTTATTTGCCATTTCCTTCTCTAGCTCATTTTACAAATGAGAAAACAAAGGCAAAGAAGGTTAAGCGACTTGCCCAGTGCCCAGACACTAGCAGGTTATCTAAGACCACATCTGAACTCAGGTCTTCCTGATTCTAAGCCCATTACTCTACCCACTGCACAACCTACCTGCACCAAATGCCACCTAGGTAGTGATAAAAAATTTAAAGATGAAAATAAAATCGTAAACATTTTAAAGCACACATTCTTTTACCAAGGTAAATTACAAAAATCTATAGTCCCTCATTTTATCAAATATTTTTGTGTCGTTTTGCTTTTTGAAAATGAAAATATAAATGTAAAGTACTTTGCAAAACTTAAAAGTATTATGCAATATTAGCTAGTATTAATTATTATATGTTTATGCTACTCATCTGTATTAAAATTAATTTTACTGATAAATCTGATTGACAACAATTTTTAGCTGATGCAATAACATTTTCATACATGCCAACTCCCAGCTAAAGAAGGTTAAAAATTATGGAGGCCAATCTTCAATAAACAAGTTGTCAAAGGATAATCAATAAGCAGTCCTCAAAAAAGGAAATGCTAACTATGAACAACCAACCATATAACAGAATACTCCACATCATTAATATTAGGTTTGACTTCACATCTATCAGAGTGGCAAAGATAATAAACAACCAAAATGGTAAATGGTAGAGGAACTATGAGAAGATAGGCACATTAAAGTCATGATACCATATATATCCTTTGAATCAGTGGTACCATCATGCCAAGGTCAGACAGAAGGAAAGGCTCCATATATGCAAAAACAATTATAACAGTACTTTTATGGTAGCAAAAAAACCAAAACAAAACAAAACTAGAAACAAGGTAGATGATCATTCACTGATGAATAGCTGAATAAATTTAAGTATATGAATTAATGGAAAATTATTATGCCATAAGAAACGATGGAGAAGAATAATTCAGGGAACCTTGGGAAAATTTAAATAACCCTATTCAGGACAAACTAACCAAAAATAAAAGAACATTAAATACAACAATAATAACACAAAGGAAAATAATCATGAAAGACAATAGAACTCTTATTATTATAATAACCAATCTTATCTCCAGAGGAAATATATTGAAACATATCTTCCTCCTCTTGGCAAACAAGATGGTGGACAATAGTTGCAGAATGAAGTATAAATCAACATAAGTTTAAATACACTTTTGCATTACAAAAAGGGTCCCTTGCAGAGAAGAGGGGATGATGGGAAATACTGATTATGTAAAAAAATAAAATATCAACAAAACATTTTGAAAAGATTTGGGGTATCTCATTATTGTCTTCAAAAATTAAAAAAAAAAAAGGAAGAACAAGGTACCTAGAAAAACACCTGCAGACTGAGAAAGGTTCCCATTTGCTGACCGAGGCATGTGTTACATAATTGGAATCTGGCTGTTTCTGTTTGCAGGGAAAGAAGCAAGGGAGAGAAAGGAATAAATAAGAATTAGGTCTATAAGCACATGCACAGCAATTAGACTGCTTGTGTGTCAGGAAAGAAAGGCTCCTAAAAAATGGAAACAAACTGCTAGAAAGGCTTTCTGATGCCAAGATGGCCTGACTATCTTCAAAGAGATTTGGACAGAAAATAAGACTTACGGTAGGTCTGTAAAAAGCACCATCATCAAATCTGAGAACAAAATCAGGGTAATGTTAAAAAGCAATAAGAATTAAAGATGGATGACAGGGGTACCAAAGTACACCTTAACCTTTCTTTACTCTCTTGCCCAGAGGTGGGGAACTTGCGGCCTTCTAGGTCCTTGGGTGCAGCCTTTTCACTGAGTCCAAGCTTCACAGAACAAATCTTTTCATTAAAGGGATTTGTTCTATAAAGTTTGGATTTAATCAAAAGGCTGCACTTCGGGACTTAGAGGGCCACTTGCGCCTTGAAGCTGCAGATTCCCCACCCCTGAGTCTTGCCATATATGTGTATCTCTTGAAAAACTGTCATTTAATACTTACCTGCTTTGATAAAGAGTTCTCCATTTTTAAGGAAGAAAAGGCTAATGAGTAACTCACCCTGGGCAAGTTACTCAGCAGCAGTGGGCCTCAATTTCTTCAGATGCAAAATGGAGTGGTTGGGTTATATGGTCTCTAAAACCACTTGCAGATTATGTTTTAAAGAAAAGTTTGCTAATCTCTTTCAAAATATTCTACCGATGACATTGTACACAGTAATTGCAACATTGTACAATGATCAATTATGACTGACTTAGCTCTTCTCAGCAATATAATGAGCTAAGACAATTCCAAAAGACTTACGATGGAAAATGCTGTCCACATCCAGAGAAAGAAATGATGGATTCTGAATGCAGATGGAAGAATACTATTTTCACTTTCTTTGTTCTTAGTGTGTATTTTTTTCCTTCTGTTCTGTTTCTTCTTTCACAACATGAATAATGTGGAAATGTTTTACATGACTGCACATGCATATAATCCACATCAGATTGCTTGCTGTCATGGGGAGGAGGGTAGGGAGAAAAGTTTGGCACTCAAAAATCTTATAAAAATGAATGTTAAAAATATAAAGAGATAGTATTTATAAAGCGAAGAAAAAAATTCCACCTTTGACTGACCGGACAAGGAAGATGCTACAGAGATAACACTATTCAAATTTTAGCAGGTCTGTAGTTAAAGAAGAAACAAACAGCCTTTTGAGTACTGAATTGCAGATTTAACTCTACAGCACAAGGAGCTGATGATTTCAGAA